TACAAATCTTCTCTATCATATCTAGATGTTTTAAAATATCATATTAAACTCTATTAGTTCGTATTTTCCTCCGCTTATCTAATTGATCTCGAAGTACTACTTTGATTTATATATCTGACCTAAGAATCATGGCGAAGTATTAAATAAACTAAATTATTTTGCTTAATTTTTAAAAAGTGCGTAATATTTTTTATTTGGTATTGGTGGTGCAAAGGTGGAACGCTCGCCAACCACGCCTGTGGTCTAAGGTTCGGTCCCCGATCGACACACTCCTAAACCTCCATTAACCAGAAGTAAGGTCGATAAATAGGTTGGGTTGGATTGAGGCTAGCAGCCTCACCGTGTAAAAATAACACATAGTGTTACAGAAACTTCTAAGCTGAACCCTAAAGTCCTATGTTCCACACACAACACAGAAGAAGAGAAGAAGAATAATATATGTATTTATGTATGAATATGCTTTTTATATTGTCCGCCAATGATTACGTCATCATACATTTGTTTGGATTACTGTTTTCTATATGTTCCCAGAAAAGATAAAGAAAACCGCTTGTGCCCACCGATAAACACGTTTTCACTCTTTGTTTTGTGTTTTTTGTACAAGAAACTAGAATTCTGCTATTATTTTTTTCTTATTTGACGTCATCATCATGTGTTGATCTATAGGGGGAGAGAGAGGAAGTGAGGGAATTCGAGAGGTTACGTGTAAACTAACAACTTGTTGATATATATCTGTCTCTTACATCATAATCTTCAGCATGGGTTTTTCTTTCCACAGTAACGTATACATATAATCAAGCTGTACAATTCTGTGTGGCTTTTAAGAAATGATATCACTTTAGGAAATTTAAACAAAGGTATAAATAATGGTAAAGTAAATAGTAGTATGGAATACGATGAAAATGTTTGTGTGCCTCACTAGATGTAATGACAGATCTCCTAAAAGATTCATTCATAGAAGACGTATAGTTGGGTGCTTATCTCCGAGAGAAAAAAGAACTTGATTCATTCGCTGTGCTTATGTAGGATAAGAAATGCTTGTAGTTCTGACTGCATTGACGCAGAACTTTCTTCCTGAAAAGTCACATTTGATAAAAACGGTTACGCAAACTGATTTATTGATAAAAACACGAAAGACGATCAGTCCAAACTGATCACTAACTGTTTGGGAATCTGGAATTCAAAGGTGACGAAGCCTCACATATGCTCAAAAATCGTCCCTTTAAATCATTTATTAAGAAGTTTCTTGCTGGAAAACTCCTAACGACCTTCACCAGCCGTTAGCTATTCTCCTTCACTGAAAAAGATAAGCTTTCTCGTCTATTCTCCTCCATGTGCATCTGTCAGTTCACTTGCTCTTATGGAGCAAGATATATTGGCCATGGAGAAGGCTTTCCACATGGAGACGAGAAGAAATTTCAGCGTGGGTTTACAGGGGAGGAAGGAATGCTGTCCGAAGCTTAATTCTAGAACACTTGATAGATTTCTGTTATTAATCTACCAATCCTGACTATGATTTTAAGATCACTGATCGAATTCATGCTAACTTGATGCTTTCTCTTTGTGCTAAACTTCTAAAGACAGCGGACGCCTTACCTATTGACGAATTCAAGCCAGACCTTTGTATACAAAAAAAGTGTGTACAGTCTCTATTTCTACCTTGGTAGTAGGGAGATAAACATTTATTTCGTTCCCATATTAGTTTGTTTATCAGATGTATCACATAGTGAAACAGTATTGCTTACTGGATGACGTTTCAAACGAAATTCATTGTTGATTGATATGATAATGAACAATAAATTTTGTTTCAAACGTCACCCAGTAAATACTGCTGTTTCATCACTGTGTGATACATCTAATAAACAAACTAATATGGAATTACTTACTACTACAGTGCCCATGTTTTGCACGTACATTTATTTCTTTTCGTTTATTTAATCTACGTACCTTAACGTTCCTTCTACAGCTGTTATTATTATTATTATTAATGTGGACAGTTTATGGTACCATTTGTTTTGTCCCATTTGTTATTTTAAAACAACATATATATATATATATATATTGCAGGGTTAAAATCCATCTTATCAAACTTCTCAGCATGTTATGTAATGAATGTTTTGATTCCCTATTAATGCTATCAGTTTCACATCCCTCTTTAAGATCTATATATGACATTATTTGTTTTATCACTTGATATATAACTATGATTACAGTAACAAACATCTCAATCGCATTTCGTATTATTATTATTATTGTTATTATTTTAAGTATTCAAACCTTTGTTTAGATTTCCTCACAGGATGTATATATCTTAACTGTCGTTGAGCTGAAGTTTTTCTATGGTTTCTTAATGAATTGAGAGATAGCAAATCTTTGCTTTTCCACACACCATAGTTATATATATGGAATGATGAGTTGTCGAAGTAGACTATTTCAAAAATTACCACAGCGCGATATATTACATTAACTTATTATGTACCTGTTTGAATCACGTTGCGTGGTGTAGATGATTATATGGCGAAAGTCACTCAGTTATTAGTTGAAAAAGTTTGTTTGTTTGTTTGTGTATGTGTGTAGCTCGAAACCTTTCAGATTGATTCATCAATTTTTGGTTACAGGGTTCCTTCATAAGCCGACATTGGTTAGAGAGTCATTGGAAAACCTGGGAGTACTGGACAGATGTTTCCTTTGCCTAGTTTGCGACTCTTCATCAGTACAAACTCACCTTGGAGGTTTGGAACCAGGACCTTCTGGTTACAAGGCGAGCTAGCTCGTAGACCATCAGGGCCACTGGGACCTGATCTAATGGCGTTGGCAATAACAATTAAGTCAAAAATGTACACAAAGTGTAAAATAATAATTATAATGTTAATAACTGAAATTATAAGACAATTGAAACAATTATGAGCAGACAAAAGAGCTATTTGTTAGTTACATAACAGTTTGTAAGCTTCACGCTTAACACTATCTCTATCATATAGAACGTGGGCCAAATATGGTATCGTTGAGTTTTTTTTTACTAAGTTATGTGAGGATATAATCCCTTATAATGACTTCTAGTCCTACCGGATAAAATGCATAGGGAGAGTTGTGAATGAAAAGGGTGTTGAGAGTCAGACAATATGGAATTAGACCATTGATTGCATGAGTTCAGATGTGTGTTTACTACAAATATCGCCGAGCCGACTTAGTGACACACTGCTTACCCTACTGACAACCCCTAATACCCTGCATAATATGACATAGTCCTTTTTGAGTAGTAGCCCAGGAAAGACTAAGTGGGGGGGTGGGGTGGGGAGCAATAAAGAACAATAGGTAAGATGCAGGAGTTAACAAATTCTAAAAGTAGAGGTTGAGTGATTCCTACCTGATTGTCTTAACTTCTCGCTGTAAAAGGTCAGACGGAACACTTTCTTAGAAGTTGGCAAGATATGGGATGAACTGTTCCAAGATATTTTATACCTGGAGATATGGTGAAGGTAAATAATTATAGATAATGAACTGCATAGCTAAACAAAGTGTATATAATGGACAAATTATGATCCAAATGACTATGTAAACAAGAAACGGCTAATATAGGAGGAAGGGGGTTCTAACATTAAAAGATTAAGAAGATGGAATAGAGGAGTGGTTGGATTACTTTCACCTATATATAAACCTCCACTCTACTTCTCTATGTTAATGGCAGATATGTAGTGGTTTTTGCGGGTTATTATATCTCTCCAAGTAGATGACTAGTATTGACAAGATGCTTAAGCTGTTGTATTAGATTCACAATCATTGCTTTTTAACCATGAAGGGTACTTTTCCTTCACCCTTTGATTTAGAACACGCGCTGGTACGCGTAACTCCACAGGAACAGGTGAACTGCCTGTTTCTATGTATACTCAGACACATTCATGAAACGAACTTAATATGGTAATAAAGGAATTTCTTCGCTGAATCATTTTCTTCTCTTTAAATCTAGACTTGTTTTTGCCAGTTTTTTCGTTGACTTTTGTACTTTCGTCTTTCTGTAAAGTACTTCTCAGATATCCGTTAGCTTAATCCAGTGGATGGAGTTTTGTCTAAAGGCCTCTGATTATTTTTCTCAAAAGTTTTCTATAGGTTTGTATTTTTTTTTTTTCAATTTCAAGAAAAACTGTTAAATATGAATTACATAAGGCGCTACACGGTATCATCTGGATTTAAAGTTATGCTGTGAAGTATACAACATCGTTACATAGTATACTAGATGGCGAATAAGAATATGTAAAGAAGAAGAAATCGATAATTTTTCAAAGCAGTCACTAATAGGAGCTTATTTCTCATGAAACTTATGTCTTAACACATAAAGCTACCTACCCTTAGATTTAGTTAGTAATATGATCTTTTTAATGTGTACAACTAGATGATCATTGATAGTGTCGGTCATGGCTAGAATGGATCATCAGTAGATGCTCCAAACCCCCAGTACACAATAAAACAATTTTGATTCATAGAAGGATTGATGTTTTATGAGTTGGAGCAATCACAGAAACAGTGTTTGGCAAATCTACCTGACTATGGATACGTAAAGTACAACACCAAAACTAATTCTTATTTACAGCACTTCGCTATGCAAAATTCTCTGACACTTTATATTACCAATTGCCAGAAATTACAATTGATGGGGATCATTGAATTCCGTCCCAGTGGCCGGATGGTCAACAAGCTTGCCTTGTAACCCGAACATCCTCGGTTCGATATCTGATAGGGTCATGAGTGTGTATTGCTGAAGATTCCCAAACAAGGACAAAATAGCCGTTTACTAGTCCGCGGCTTTCAATAGTTGTCTTTACTGATGTCAGTTCGTGGTAAGACTTTATATATATATATATATATATATATATATATATATATATATATATATATATATATATATATATATATATATATATATATATATATTGTAAACTTGAATTGTTTATGATTTTTATTCATTAATTATTTTTCTGTTTCTCTCATCTGTCAATCAAAAGATTCCTCAACAATCAGTTCTGTGAACAATCAAGCTGGATATCCTCCATATTCTGGACAAAATCATATTGGTAATGGAGTACAACAAATATACAATTCTGTAAGTGGGTTGTTTCAACAACAATAATGTTATACATATACAAATGTATGTTCTTAATAAGTTTTAGAGTATTATTTTCTTCTAGTCATATTCACCTATTCAGATTTTGATTTCTCTAGGGATTTGAATCAGTATCGATGTAGATTTTATCAGAATTTAACATTAGTTAGAGCATCACTGAAAACCAAGGAGCAATGAACTACTGTTTCATCCTAGTCTAATAACAGAAGACAAGGGCCAAGGCAACAGATCGTTTATTAAGGAAATCAACACATATTTATAGATTTTTATGTACATTATTATAGCTTATTCAAGCAAACGAACACAGTCTTCAGATTGGTTGTTTCTCACTCTAAGTTAACCTTGCATCTCTTTGTGACTGTTTCTTGAATGTCACATCATCTATATGTTAACTGTATCCGCCTACGCAAAGTCTGCGTCCCATGACCAATATTTGGGACATAAATACTGACGTAAAATACTGTCCACCAATTTTGGCTAGCAGTCTGCTCTCACCACACTAGTTGTTCGACTCTTCGTCACTTCGCACACATGACTCCACCGGGAATCGAACCTAGAGAATTTCATTTTACTAGTATTATTTATTATTATTATATTATAGTATCTTTTAGTTCCTAGAGGAACATAGGGCTTCACCTGCGCACCTCCATTCTGTTTTCTGCCAACTTTTTCACACCGCTCCAGGTCTGTCCACATGCTTTCATCTCCTCCTCGCATGATCTCCTTCAAGTCACCCTTGCACTGACGACCAACTCGCTGCTTCCCTTTCGGCCTGGTTCCACTCGAGCGATGGCTTGTCTACTGATGTCACTTGATGGTTTCCTCAGAGTATGGCCAATCCATCTCCATTTCTTCCTGCCTATTTGTTTCACAATCGGTTCCTGATTGGTTCGGTCCCAGAGATCCCTGTTGCTGATCTTTTCTGGCCGGCCATCTGATCTTGAGTATAAAGCAAAGACAACTGTTGATGAAGGTCTGAAGTTTGTTTGAGATGCTCTTCATGACTCGCCAAGTCTCTGATCCAATCATATAGTAGCACTGACTTCACATTGGAGTTGAAAATCCGGATCTTATTTTTGATGCTGAGTGCTGTTGACCTCCACACAGATTTGAGACTAATGAAAGCTTGTCTTGCTTTTCCGATTCTGGCATTTTACTAGTCCAGCACGATTACTATTCAAACAAACTGATCTGGAATTCAATAAGTCGTGGGTTTTGTGCGAATTCTGTCAATTCGCGCAAGATTGCGCTACTACCCCCAAACAATGCCATCGATTGGCATTCACTTCACACAACAGTCACATAGTCTGATCAAGTTCTGTGTGTTCGATCCCATGAGAAGAGGAGTACCAGTGTGTTGCTTGGTTTTCTATTATTCTATGACCGATGTTGGTTCGTTGCGGAATATTCATCATTATTAAATACGTCAGACAGACTTCAATTCCCCCGACTGACTTCCCTTATGTCTCTGTTTTTCCCACATTTTAACTTAGTTTTGACTATTTAGTTTAGATTAAGGTATCATTTTAGGATGTAAAACGAAGAGACAATGTTTTTTTCTTTTTGTCATATCATTTTTGCATATTTCCAGATTTTCATCTTTAATTAATTAACTTATTTTTAAATGATAAATTGGCTTAGCTTGACTAAATTTTTTCACTTTTTTTACGTGTACTAAGCATGTGACATCTAATTCACATCTAATTTAGATTTTCCCTTAGATTGATTGGAACGGAATGATTGGTCTAAGGTTGATATGTTGTCTCCTTATGGAGATGCTACGATGATGTCTGGTCATGTATTTTTATTTTATTTTTATTTTTGATTACAGCTTGATTCCACACCGTATTTTTGGTACAAGTATGGAATTTTCAGCATGGATATCGGTAGCCCAAAATTTGCAGGCCAACCATAGATATCAGGTGTTCGTCGGCAGAGGATCGAACCCCGGACCATGTGCATGGTCGGCGAGAGTCCTAACCACTGTGCCACCGACGCACTTGAATAAGACCCGTTGCACAAGCTGTGTTGCTCGTGGACTTAGTGGTCTAGTGGATAACGCTTCGGCGTTTTAAAATAAGGGTTCGAGCCTCGGTGGGAACACCATCGCTTACTTGGGAATGCTGGCACATCCAGATGACGAGTCTAAAACAGGACGAAATGCACATACTGGATTCCACTGCTAGTCATCATCAACCAATTGACTTTAAGTATGCGATAATTTGTTATTGTAGGGAGCAATTTGAATTCTCCCAGTTATCTTCATTTTCACGGTCTCTCTTTGGATTGTATGCGCGCACATTTCTACATTTGTATACATACACTTATACTGTATTAGTACACAATATACAAAATTTTTTCCAGTTCTCATGTTTTACCATCAGAATTGAGTAGTGCAGCTACAAAAAAGGTTTTGATAGATGATTACTAGCAGTGGAGTCTAGCATGCTCATTTTGTTCTACTTGGTACTCGTTCACTGGATGTTGCAGGAGTATCCCAGTGACAGTTATTTTTCTCGCTGAGACTTATGTTAGTGATTTCATCGAACTGTCTGTATAAGAAGCCAGTATTTCACGAGAGATCTAAACACTTTCAAGTGTGGGTTTTGTAGGGATTTGTTTGATTGCATGGAGGATTTCATCATGAGCTAACATCAGTTAGAGAACCACTGGAAAACCTGGGAGTACTGGACAGATGTTTCCTCCTATTTTGGAACTCTTCATCAGTACGCACCCACCGGGGTTCGAACCCAGGACCTTCTGGTTACAGGGAAAAAACAGCTGTCGAGTATTCCCAGGTTTTCCAGTGGTTCTCTAACTGATGTCAGCTCATGATGAAATCCCCCATGCAATCAAACAAAATCCCTACAAAACCAATACTTGAGAATTAATTTGATGCTCACTAGCGACCGGCCCTATTCAGCAAGTCACCTGAGATTCTAGTGGGAAGCCGTGACCAGTAGGTTACAGCAGGTTGAAGATGAGGCAGTAACTCATCGAAGAAGACATTGCGAAATGGTCGCGCTATGTCGTGAATTAGCACAAGTTAGGATTCATGGGCTGGCCATTGGATCGGGTCCCAGTGACTCAACGGTCTACGAGCTCGCTAGCCTTGTAACCAGAATGTCCCGGGTTCGAAACCTGGTGGTGTGCGCCTACTGACGAAGAGTCCCAAACAAGGACGAAACAGTTGGCTATCCAGTACTCCCTGCAGGTTTTCCAGTGGTTCTGTAACTGATGTCAGCTCATGGGGATATCCTCCATGCAATCCAGACATTTCGCTTTTAATCAATCAACGGGGAAAAATACAGTTGGCTTAGACAGCTACAAAGATTTGTTAATTATTTTCTTGGTGTTGTTGCGTTCTCTCAACTAGACAGCTTGAATATGAAGCTTTTTTCTTTTTGGCAACATCATTGGTGCTAACTTCAAAATGAGGTGAGCTATTCGACTTCTTCATGAATTTGAAAACTGTCTCTCTTGACGAACGTGAATACGACTGATTTTCTATGAAGGTTTTTTTTATCTTCTTTGTACAGTTGATCGTTTTGTTGACCTGATATTTTGACCTTTTATCCATTTAACTTTCCTATTGTTTGATAAACCAGATCTCTATTAGTATTCATCTCAGCATCAAGTCTTGGAGGATTTCCTAGTGATCTTACTTTATCTTTAGTCTAAGATATTTCCACTTTCCTAGTCAATTTGGTGCCCATAGTTTTGTCTCCATCCATTGAAACATAGGCACGACAATCAAGTCTTTTGACAGCAACAACAGTTGCTACAATTTATCTTGCATGTGATGTTGATTTTGTCTTCTTTTTCCGTTGTATTTTTTAATCGAAAGAGTTTCAATATTGTAGCAGTTATTTCGGAGGTATTCTTTATTTTCTCTGTGCTTTTATACTTTGATTTTTTGTTGATTGTGTTAGTAGACATTTTCTGATGAAGTGATGTGTATTTTGATTTCTGTGGAAAAATACATTCAAACTGTTTTCTACTATTCTCTCCGAAAGAGAAGAAGTGCTTTAGTATTTATTATCGCTATTTATATAATCTCTGTTAAATTTTTCCTGTTGTCTCTAAGCATTTGACTTGTGCAGGCTACTAACTTTTCTGTACACTTGTTCTCTTGATTTTAAGGTAGTTAAAAACGAAATTTCACTCAATAACTCTTCCCGTTACGTAAAAAGCAGAGGTCATGACCAGTTTTACTTTAAAGCAACCAACTTCATATTAGGTGATGAAGTCAAGATAACTTTTAAAGGTATATTGAAATAATTTAGGAGAGTGTTTCGTCCTATTCGAAACCCATCACCTAGATGTACTTGTATTCCCAGTGAGTGATGATGTTTCTATTGAGTTGAACCTTGCACTCATTGTTTCAAACGCCAAACTACTATCTACTACTACTAGGCCACGAGAACCACTTCCCGTGTAATGGTGTTTCTAGGTTAATGAGTATTTCTCATTGGTTGACTATATTGTACCGAATTGTTCTTGGTTTCTATTGTCATTCTGGCCCCTAGTATGGACTCTTCGAAGATGTCTAGTGATTATTGACGTGTAGTTATTGTGGTTGATGATGACTGTCAGGGGGATCCAGGGACACCATCACTCACTAGGAATGCAGGTAGACCCAGCTAATGAGTCAAAAATAGCACGAGACTTTCATTAAGGTGTCTTTGGCGAGTGGGTATTAATTTTTTATACGTCTAAATTACAATATATGTAGCGTTAGTTATTTCGTGATCTCTCGGTATTTGCGCTTCTGATTCTTTCTATTCCTTTTTTTATTTCCTTCACGTTCCCAGTGGAACATAGGGCCTCAAGCTAGTGGCTTGCAGTTTCTGTAGTAGTAGTAGTAGTGTTTATTCTTACAGGATGGGGATGCTAGCCTCATGCCCAACCTTCCCTCTTTATCAGCATTATTTCTGGCTTAGTGAGGTGAAGGAGTGCATCAGTGGCCGGGGATCGAA